CAACAGGTTGCTGAATTACAGTCGTTTTGCTATACTATTTACATAATACTATAACTACATCATTAATTATGTAGTTACATAGAATTGTTTTTATATTAAATTGTCATTCCATATCGCCAGCTTGAGCTTTCAAATACTGGAGTATTTCCAGAAAGAGGCAGTTGGGCTTACTTTCGCTTTCCCTAAGGTATTCTGTGGTGATCAGGCAGACGCCTATGAAAACTTTATGCTGGTAACATTTTACCACAAATTCTTTCCGCTTGGAAAAGTGTCTGAAAGAACAAATTCCACAGATTTACAGCTTTTTTGTAGAACATGTTCATGAATTCTTTGACAAAAATATGTTTCACAGACATATTTCAGCAAGTGCCCACTGGCTTCTGTTACAAGTGAGTTTCAAGTCAACTTCTTTTGTTCTTTTTGAAGAACGTATCAAAGCAATTGTCCATGGTAATCGACCATACGCTCCAGATGCAACACATAGAGATTAAATTTGAAAACACCACAGTTTTCCTTTCATTAACAGCATCAGGATGTAGAGGAAAGTGTTACAAGCAGAAGCTCAATGCATGTTCTCATTAACACTGTCCCCTATGGCTGAAGCGAAACTTTGAATGCACTGCTGTGTTTACATTGTCCCAAAGGGAGATCTGACACTATTCCCTTCAGACCAACAGCACCCACTAATTAGCGTTTTGGTGGGGAAATACACTTTTTTTGTGTTGAATCTGAGTGAGTTTGTTTACTTCATGAGATGTGGCCTGTTGTTTTATAAGCCTAAAGGAAGAGTTTCCATCTCTGGCCTAAGAGCCTGTGTAAAATCCTTTTAAAAAAGTTTGTAACTTTGATATATTTACTGTTTTTAATCTGGCCTAGTTTTTTATCTGGCTTATTTGCTTGTGTAGTGTAGTTAGTTCCATTTGTTCTATTAATCCTGTATTGAATGTATTGTAAGTACAGTTTGTATTGTCTAGTGGTAGTCAAGGCCTACTGCTTTGTATGAATGGATAATTTAAAGAGAATTCCACATATTTTTTGTTGAGATGTAAGGTCACCAATCACTACAGTGGTGCTGGTAGGAACCAGGGGTCACAATGTCTACAGTGCAAAAGCCATTTTATTTGCTATCCAAAATGACCAGTAAACCTACACGTGTCTTCTGAGTTTTATATATGATGTTGACACTGATGAGATGAGAAAAAATAACATTGAAGTTTTATTTGGAGCCTTTTCGCCCTATAACTACCTGCATGTACCTCTCCGCCATTATTTGTTATTATTAAAATATGTTTTAAGCTAAAACTTTTCCAGAAACTGTCATAAAACAATGCCTCACACATCGGGTGACCATTTTATGTAATAACCTCTGCTAAGTGGCTTTTAGAAGTATTAAGAAATCAGAAATTTACTTTAATAATGGTGGAATTCCCCTTCAAAAATACAGATAACTGAAAACTAGAGGCTGATCAGTTTACTGTTCGACCAATAAAATCAGGCGACACCAAGCTTACAAGTATTTATCATTATCAGCAAATATGCCACAAGCAATGCCCCATGAATCCACTATATTCACTGTAAAAAATGAAAAAGTAATTTCACTGTCAGAGTACTGTAAGATGTAACGGTCAATTTCCGTGTTTAGAAAAAAGGATCAATGCATGTAAATAAACCAGACACATACTGTATTTTAACACTGCTGTTGTTAATTTGCAATGTCAATAAAAAAAAAAATAAATGACCACTTTTATTTCACAGACATTTGTGTTTGTTATTTAGGTCAGAATAACTTGTGAGCTAGTGAAATTGTTGAAAATACTATATTTATAAAAATATATTTTATAAAAATATATTTGAATTGTTAAAACTTGATACTGTATTTATAAGGAATTAACAGAATTAAATGAATTACAGTAAAAGACTGTATTTATAAGGAATTACAAGACCATACTTATACAGATCTTTACCATCAGTGAGAAAACATGCTTTTACTGTTGATTAACAGATCTATCTGGTACCCCTACTGCTGGACTTTTACAGTTTTGAACAGATTAATTAATTAATTAATTAATTAATGTCACTCCCTCTTTGTACTTGATTACCAGAATTCTCTGGCTCCTTAAACAATTTTATTGCTTTTTTTTTTTTAAAAAATGAGTTTAATGTATGTTAACATTGTTAAAAGTAAACAACAAACTTTTTTATTTTTTATTATTTATAATTCTGTTTTCTATGAAGTTTCAGAACATATTCGATTCCCAGTCCATACAGCCTATAAACGGAAACAGAATTATGAATTATGACTGTTTTTGGTCCATAAACCCACAGAAATGTCATAAGGAGACTTCAGGAAAATACAAGAAACATGCAGGAGACGTGCTGTTTACAGGATCGGATATGGCTGTCAGGGCTTCTCTGCTTCACTCCATTCAGTTTAGAGTTGGAGCATTAAAGCTGCCAGTTTTTCACTTTTTCTTTGATTCCATTGCATATTTAGACGCTGCTCTGATTTTTTGACAGTGCTTTTCTCCTGTTTATTTTGATTTTCATGATATGATTTTCATGTTCATGTGACTAAGATGAATACTACTGAATTATTGAAAGTAAGAAGTACATTCATATGAGGCTTATTTATACTTGTATAGCTGTAACAAAAGGCACTACTTTTCTTTCTTTAGGTTCAAATTTGAGCAAAGAGAATTGGGATAAATCACACAAAGTAATGTGATTTATTGCGATTAATTGTTTTAATCGTTTGACAGCCCTAGTCAAACTGTCACACTGTGTTATAGATTCTAGCTTCTTTTAAGAAAACAGTTTGTGACAGACATTTCAAGCAATATAATAGATACACAACAACATATAGACAATACAATTAGAAAATATTAAAGATGTGAAAACAGCATTAAATTATAAGAAATCTCAAAATATGGTGCACCAGCATGAAGCGTGGAAACATAAGAAAAGTATATCAACTAAAGGTAAACTACAGCTGATATAAATGAAAGAACTAACATGCCAGCCAGTTCCTGGTAGTGGATGATCATTGAACCAGTAACTGAACATGAGATTAAAGCTGATGGCAAAGAAACTAAAGCATAGTCAACAGTTTGAAGCTAGTCGATTTAGACATGTGCCACTTTGTAATGGATCAAATCTTTACTACAATGACAGAACCCACCCACTGAGCTGTTCCCCAAACAGATCATTCATTCAATTCAAAGCACACGAGCACAAGCACAAGTAAAATCATTACCAGAATGCTGCCTTTCGAGCCGAGATGTCATCCCTCCAGAAATGCTGACTGGTCTTTCAGCTGTCTTTCTGTGCATACTGGCATAAATACTTCAGGAGATTTGAGGGAGGGTTCATTCAGCGCTATGTGAAAGAGCAAGAAATGCTTGCCCCATGTTAATGATTTACCATTTATTGACACTGCTATGGCATAAAACAGCAGTTCTCAACCTGTAGACCACAGGTAGAATGACGTTATCATTTCAGAAAGCAGGTCATATGGTTTATACAGAGTACAACTGTGGAAATTCCTCTGAATTTTCTATAGATTTATTGATGTTGGTAGTTATGCAGCACTTTTCAGTTCAAATGGATTCTAAATAGTTTTCATGCAGGTGGCAGTACTGTGTAGAAGCTGTAATGCTAATCAAAACCATAATGTCGTCTTATGTACGAGACCATCAACGCATGTGGGATCAGTGGTCGCCAAACTTTCATTTTGTCATCAATACAGCCTGGCATGATAGTTCAAGTTTTACTCCTGTAGAGGTGGCACTTGGCAGAAATCTTATGGGTCCGCTTGAGAGATTCCTCAGTCAACCACAATGCCTACCGAGTAATCCAGCAGCAGCAAGACCTCATCTAACAGGTTTGAGAGAATGTAAAAAAGGCCCATGAATAACAGGCCAAGTATTACAATCGATGGAGGGACACAGACACCTATGAAGGCGGAGACAGGATATGGGTGAGGGTCCATCCATTGTCACGGGCCGAGACGGGGTATACTGCTAAGTTGGCCGAGAAATGGAAAGATCCTGTAAAAATCATCCAGCAGACTGTACACACGGTTACATGTGCAGTTCTGTCTTCCAACTGTAGGGAGAAACCCGAGGGACTAGACTCCTACATACATATAAGAGAGATGAAATTCTTATGGGGAACATAAGATAAAGGAAGTCAAGCAACAACCACAATAATCAACAACCAGAATAATCAACATACACACAGCACTAATACACCAGACAGGTAAAACCAAATGATGTCACATTAAAATAAAGCTGCCAATTATAAAACCCATTTGGGGGTTACTCACTAAAACTGCTGAGTTCTCTCGAATACATTTAAAATGAGCATCCCATCTGTATAAGCAGGCTACGGTGTGTTAGGCATGTTTACTAAACCTGTCACCAGAAGCTTTGAATTGGAGAATATATGTGGCCTATTGTTTGTTTTAGATTAGTGTGTTCATTTTGCCCGGCAACAACCTCACAATTGGCCACAGCTTCTAGTTGTAAATTAGAAACTGGAATTATTTTTTTGGATCCTCCAGCTAATTTCTGTGATCAATAATAAATGAAAACATTTTTGTTTTTAAGTATCTGTTAGTATTTGGTAGAAAGTAGATATATTTTGCAATATGTTTCTATCTGGGCCCCAGCTCCCATAATGATTGAAATGCCCTGGACACTGGTATAACTAAATTTCATACTTTATACTTCCTTCCTCAAAATAAAAGTACTGGGTTTTCTCTTCTTTTGAGATTTATCAGCAGAAGAATACATAACAATTCCTTAACGCATAGTTCCCAGATTTCTCGGAAACCTTTCCTTTTTTAGCTCATTTCTGGCTTTCAACATTGGACACACTAAATACTGAAACATTTGATATTATACTTAGTTGTTGGGCTGTAAATATTTATATTACAATACAATATGTATAATTGCAAATTGTTAACTGTATTAAAAAAAATAAACCATGCATTCTGTTTGTATGACTTGGTGTGTTACCATAACCATATTCAAACCTCTCAGACTTCTTTATTGCATTCTTTGAAAGGATTAACCTTAACATTTTGTTAAATGCTCCTAGCACACTCGAATTTCAGTTTAAAAACAATGCAAGTTTATAAGCGTCAAATCATACATCAGTATATCTAATCATAAATCAGTGTTACTAATCCTAAATCAATATATCTAACCATACATCAATCAATGCGTCTAACAATACATCAAGCAATGCATGTAATACATGCATACAAATGCATACATCAGTGTGTTTAATCATACATGAATTTGTCAACTAATCAACGTCTTATCATTCATCAGTGCGTTCATTCAATGAATGTATATAATCATAGATCAGTCAATGAATCTCAAGTTTTTCTCAAACTATAACAGAACTTAAAAGAATGCTCCACACATTTTGTGTTGTCCACTATGCTCAGTACCAAGTAGCACCATGGGTAAAAAATGGCTTTTTCCAGATGTTTATTCATTATCACATCATATTATGTATAGTGGAGTGATCTAGATTGCTCTAGATTGTGTTAGTAAACAAAAACTAAGCAAGACAGATGGTAAGACAAAAAGTAGAAAACAAATGCCAGTGAAGGAGTTGCGTTCATTAGATCGTTCAACAATCATTCTCGTTTGGTTGTTTTTCTCCTCATACACAGCCTACAACAGAAATATCTGATAACTGCATATGTCATGAAAACAATTAACAAAAGAACAGCCAGCAGGAACAGCATGACATCCACAGAGTGGTAAGCATACCAGGGCATTTTGTAGGATTCTGTTCGTAGATGAGGCGCACCACCATGCCTCATAACAAACTCAGTCCAGAAGACAGCATTGTCCAGTGGCTTTATTGGTGTATCTCTATGGAGTCTGGAGAGTCTCTGCATGTTTCCTCGGTAGGAAGGATCATAAAGAACTTCTTTTAAAGTTTGTAGGAAGGAGTTTTTGTCCATGGTTGCAAAATCAACAGTCTTAGCTGCTCCCCTCGCCCTCATTTTTGAAAGATTGTCAGGCTGGTCCCAGATGAGGCCAAACCCAACGAGGGGAACACCGTGATAGATAGCCTCTTGGACTCCATTAGTTCCACCGTGTGCCACAAAAGCCCTGGTCTTGGGGTGACCGAGGAGATCATTCTGAGGTATCCAGTCCAACAGTAAGGTATTGTTGCCCAAGGTAGATGGTCTTTCTCCTTGGTATCGCCAAATAACCTTCTGTGGAAGTTCTGCGAAAGCTTCAGCGACTGCATTGGCTACATCGTGGGGAAGATGGTCAATGAAGGTGCCCAGAGACATGACGATGATACCGTGCTCACCAGAGCTCTGAACAAAGTCCTCAAGATCTTGTGGAAGAGGCTTTGACGGCTTGCACTGGAACCCACCCATATAGACAATGTTTGGCATGGTAGGTCGTGGAAATTCAAAGACAAAGTCGCCTCTGAAGAGCCATAAATCTGCTCCTTGGACGATTTCAAAGTAGTTTACTTCTGGACCACAAACTCGATGACACAGTGCATTGTAATTTGGAGCGAGAAAATAGCTGACCTGTAATTCCGTAACATAGTACATGATTACATTATAAACTCTCTGGAAAAAGCTCATGTGGTCGGATAACTCTAATATTGGTATAGGGATGTAAGAAATCGGTGAAGGAGCTATTGCAAAGTGGCCCTCACCATGGACCGTCCACCGAACGTTGAAGACGAGAGGCAGTTTCAGATAATGACCTAGAAGGATGCCACTAATCAACACAGGGTCGGTAAGATACAAATCATATTTGGCATCTTTTAAAGATTTCACTAACTGCTGGTCTTCAATTATACTTATCATCATTTCCTTCTCCATCTCAAACATCTCCACTGCTTTGTCCCACATCTCCTTCTCCAGTTTTAGACGAGCAAAGGTGGAACCCTGTCTCAAGATCTCCAAGAGCCTGTTTATATAGGTCTTCATGTACACCTCATCAAACATCCCTGTGCTTTGTATAGTGATAGAAGTGTAAAGATGGGAAGTTTCTTCAATGTACCAACTACCAGCCGCCCGTATGACTGTAATATTGTGACCTCTAGCATGAAGTGCCTGGATCAAGACTTTCATGTTGACCCAATGGCTGCCATCCACAGGGAAGACCAGAATGTTCCCACCTTGGACAGAGGCTACCAGCAGACTGGCTAAGACCAGGGCACATGCTAGCACTTTTGGTCCATTCATGGTAGCACCTTTAGAAAAGAAAGGAAAGAGTGGAATAAGTTCAGGAATACAAGTCAACTCTGAAGAACAGAGTTAAATACGAAGAATTCATTTGCAAAAAAAGATGAATGCCATCTTTTAAATAAACAAGCTGACTGTCATGAGTTATTCTTAACACATATTGCAATCTGAACTCTAAATATGTTTTGTGTCTTTGCAAGTTCACATTCTCGTTGGACAAATCAGCGTGCGGTACTTGGGTCAGGTGACACAACACTGCCATGAACTGTGTCTATGACTTTTGCTCAGTACTGTACATGATGTATTCACTCATTGGTTGGAACACGCCACTGATGCTCTAAGGTACTTGTTTATACTCGTATAGCTGTAACAAAATGCACTACTTTCCTTCTTTAGGGTCAAATTTGAGCAAAGAGAATTGGGATAAATCACACAAAGTAATGTGATTTATTGCAATTAACTGTTTTAATCGTTTGACAGCCCTAGTCAAACTGTCACACTGTGTTATAGATTCTAGCTTCTTTTAAGAAAACAGGACGATTATTAGAAAACAGTACGTGACAGAAGATATTTTAAGCTATATAATATTTACACAAGCAGTACAACATATAGACAATATAATAAGAAAATATGAAAGATGTGAGAACAACATTAAATTATAAGAAATCTCAAAATATGGTGCACCAGCATGAAGTGTGGAAACAGATAAGAAAAGTATCTTATCAGCTAAAAGTTAACTACAGCTGACATAAATGAAAGAACTAACATGCCAGCCAGTTTGTGCCATTCTGAATGACCACTAAACCAGTAACTGAACATGAGATTAAACCTGATGGCAAAGAAACTAAAGCATAGTCAACAGTTTGAAGCTAGTCGATTTAGACATGTGCCACTTTGTAAAGGATCAAATCTTTACTACAATGACAGAACCCACCCACTGAGCTGTTCCCCCAAACAGATCATTCATTCAATTCAAAGCACACGAGCACAAGCACAAGTAAAATCATTACCAGAATGCCACCTTCAAGTCTAGATGTTGTCCCTCCAGAAATGCTGACTGGTCTTTCAGCTGTCTTTCTGTGCATACTGGCATAAATACTTCAGGAGATTTGAGGGAGAGTTCATTCAGCTCTATGTGAAAGAGCAAGAAATGCTTGCCCCATGTTAATGATTTACTATATATTGGCACTGCTTTGGCATAAAACAGCAGTTCTCAACCTGTAGGCCACAGGTAGAATGACATTATCATTTCAGAAAGCAGGTCAAATGGCTAATACAGAGTACAACTGTGGAAATTCCTCTGAATTTTCTATCGATTTGTTGATGTTGGTAGTTACGCAGCACTTTTAGTCCTTAATTAATAAACAGCCCTGATGTGAAACCATTAACAAGCCAAAGTTCTGCAGATACTGAAAGAATAAGGTTAATATTTTGGAATCTTGAACTTCATCAGTTAATTGTTAAGTTTGTAATCAGTTGGTTCAGTTGTTCCGATGGCAAATGTTAAATAGCAATCCATCTCATTTTATATAAGGACAGTGAAACTGGGCAGTTCAAATGGATTCCAAAGAGTTTTCATGCAGGTGGCAGTACTGTGTAGAAGATGTAATGCTAATCAAAACCATAATGTCGTCTTATGTACGAGACCATCAACGCATGTGGGATCAGCGGTTGCCGAACTTTCATTTTGTCATCAATACAGCCTGGCATGATAGTTCAAGTTTTACTCCTGTAGAGGTGGCACTTGGCAGAAATCTTATGGGTCCGCTTGAGAGATTCCTCAGTCAACCACAATGCCTACCGAGTAATCCAGCAGCAGCAAGACCTCATCTAACAGGTCCGAGAGAATGTAAAAAAGGCCCATGAATAACAGGCCAAGTATTACAATCGATGGAGGGACACAGTCACCTATGAAGGCGGAGACAGGGTATGGGTGAGGGCCCATCCATTGTCACGGGCCGAGACGGGGTATACTGCTATATAAGTTGGCCAAGAAATGGAAAGATCCCGTAAAAATCATCCAGCAGACTGTACACACGGTTACATGTGCAGTTCTGTCTTCCAACTGTAGGGAGAAACCCGAGGGACTAGACTCCTACATACATATAAGAGAGATGAAATTCTTATGGGGAACATAAGATAAAGGAAGTCAAGCAACAACCACAATAATCAACAACCAGAATAATCAACATACACACAGCACTAATACACCAGACAGGTAAAACCAAATGATGTCACATTAAAATAAAGCTGCCAATTATAAAACCCATTTGGGGGTTACTCACTAAAACTGCTGAGTTCTCTCGAAAACATTTAAAATGAGCATCCCATCTGTATAAGCAGGCTACGGTGTGTTAGGCATGTTTACTAAACCTGTCACCAGAAGCTTTGAATTGGAGAATATATGTGGCCTATTGTTTGTTTTAGATTAGTGTATTCATTTTGCCCGGCAACAACCTCACAATTGGCCACAGCTTCTAGTTGTAAATTAGAAACTGGAATTATTTTTTTGGATCCTCCAGCTAATTTCTGTGATCAATAATAAATGAAAACATTTTTGTTTTTAAGTATCTGTTAGTATTTGGTAGAAAGTAGATATATTTTGCAATATGTTTCTATCTGGGCCCCAGCTCCCATAATGATTGAAATGCCCTGGACACTGGTACAACTAAATTTCATACTTTATACTTCCTTCCTCAAAATAAAAGTACTGGGTTTTCTCTTCTTTTGAGATTTATCAGCAGAAGAATACATAACAATTCCTTAACGCATAGTTCCCAGATTTCTCGGAAACCTCTCCTTTTTTAGCTCATTTCTGGCTTTCAACATTGGACACACTAAATACTGAAACATTTGATATTATACTTAGTTGTTGGGCTGTAAATATTTATATTACAATACAATATGTATAATTGCAAATTGTTAACTGTATTAAAAAAAATAAACCATGCATTCTGTTTGTATGACTTAGTGTGTTACCATAACCATATTCAAACCTCTCAGACTTCTTTATTGCATTCTTTGAAAGGATTAACCTTAACATTTTGTTAAATGCTCCTAGCACACTCGAATTTCAGTTTAAAAACAATGCAAGTTTATAAGCGTCAAATCATACATCAGTATATCTAATCATAAATCAGTGTTACTAATCCTAAATCAATATATCTAACCATACATCAATCAATGCGTCTAACAATACATCAAGCAATGCATGTAATACATGCATACAAATGCATACATCAGTGTGTCTAATCATACATGAATTTGTCAACTAATCAACGTCTTATCATTCATCAGTGCGTTCATTCAATGAATGTATATAATCATAGATCAGTCAATGAATCTCAAGTTTTTCTCAAACTATAACAGAACTTAAAAGAATGCTCCACACATTTTGTGTTGTCCACTATGCTCAGTACCAAGTAGCACCATGGGTAAAAAATGGCTTTTTCCAGATGTTTATTCATTATCACATCATAGTATGTATAGTGGAGTGATCTAGATTGCTCTAGATTGTGTTAGTAAACAAAAACTAAGCAAGACAGATGGTAAGACAAAAAGTAGAAAACAAATGCCAGTGAAGGAGTTGCGTTCATTAGATCGTTCAACAATCATTCTCGTTTGGTTGTTTTTCTCCTCATACACAGCCTACAACAGAAATATCTGATAACTGCATATGTCATGAAAACAATTAACAAAAGAACAGCCAGCAGGAACAGCATGACATCCACAGAGTGGTAAGCATACCAGGGCATTTTGTAGGATTCTGTTCGTAGATGAGGTGCACCACCATGCCTCATAACAAACTCAGTCCAGAAGACAGCATTGTCCAGTGGCTTTATTGGTGTATCTCTATGGAGTCTGGAGAGTCTCTGCATGTTTTCTCGGTAGGAAGGATCATAAAGAACTTCTTTTAAAGTTTGTAGGAAGGAGTTTTTGTCCATGGTTGCAAAATCAACAGTCTTAGCTGCTCCCCTCACCCTCATTTTTGAAAGATTGTCAGGCTGGTCCCAGATGAGGCCAAACCCAACGAGGGGAACACCGTGATAGATAGCCTCTTGGACTCCATTACTTCCACCGTGTGCCACAAAAGCCCTGGTCTTGGGGTGACCGAGGAGATCATTCTGAGGTATCCAGTCCAACAGTAAGGTATTGTTGCCCAAGGTAGATGGTCTTTCTCCTTTGTATCTCCAAATAACCTTCTGTGGAAGTTCGGCGAAAGCTTCAGCGACTGCATTGGCTACATCGTGGGGAAGATGGTCAATGAAGGTGCCCAGAGACATGACGATGATACCGTGCTCACCAGAGCTCTGAACAAAGTCCTCAAGATCTTGTGGAAGAGGCTTTGACGGCTTGCACTGGAACCCACCCATGTAGACAATGTTTGGCATGGTAGGTCGTGGAAATTCAAAGACAAAGTCGCCTCTGAAGAGCCATAAATCTGCTCCTTGGACGATTTCAAAGTAGTTCACTTCTGGACCACAAACTCGATGACACAGTGCATTGTAATTTGGAGCGAGAAAATAGCTGACCTGTAATTCCATAACATAGTACATGATTACATTATAAACTCTCTGGAAAAAGCTCATGTGGTCGGATAACTCTAACATTGGTGTAGGGATGTAAGAAATCGGTGAAGGAGCTATTGTAAAGTGGCCCTCACTCTGGACCGTCCACCGAACGTTGAAGACGAGAGGCAGTTTCAGATAATGACCTAGAAGAATGCCATTAATGAACGCAGGGTCGGTAAGATACAAATCATATTTGGCATCTTTTAAAGATTTCACTAACTGCTGGTCTTCAATTATACTTATCATCATTTCCTTCTCCATCTCAAACATCTCCACTGCTTTGTCCCACATCTCCTTCTCCAGTTTTAGATGAGCAAAGGTGGAACCCTGTCTCAAGATCTCCAAGAACCTGATTGTACAACTCTTTAGGAACACCTCATCAAACATCCCTGTGCTTTGTATAGTGATGGAAATGTATAAAGGGGAAGTTTCTTCAATGTACCAACTACCGGCCGCCCGTATGACTGTAATATTGTGACCTCTGGCATGAAGTGCCTGGATCAAGACTTTCATGTTGACCCAATTGCCGCCATCCATAGGGAAGACCAGAATGTTCCCACCTTGGACAGAGGCTACCAGCAGACTGGCTAAGACCAGGGCACATGCTAGCACTTTTGGTCCATTCATGGTAGCACCTTTAGTAAAGAAAGGACAGAGTGGAATTCATTCAATGCAGGTCAACTTAATATAGAAATTAAGAACAGAGTTAAATATGAATATGGACCCTAATATGAATATGGACCTAGCTTCTAACCCAAAAGGTTTCTTCTATTGTCATAATGTCAAGCTTGTTACAATAGAAGAACCCTTTCTGGTGCTACATAGAACCCTTTTCAAGAAGGTTTTAAATAGAATAATCTTTAACACATTTAAATCTATCTATCAAACTAAAGGACTCCTTCATGATGCAAAGAACCATTCAGTCATGCAACGGGTTCATTAAGTGTTCATGGCTCTATATAGAACTATTTTCTTTACTAAAGAACCCTTGGAGGACCATCATTTTTAATACTGTGCAAAAGTCAGGGACACCTTTTTCTTTATTTAATTTTCAGGCAAAACATTATTTCATTTTTTCGTGTCAGGAAGAAAACTGAAAGCATTTAACAGAAAAACAACACAGCCTCAACAACTAAACACAATGCCAGTTTTTAGCATTAGCTTGTATTTTCTTCTGGAAACTTTTCAGTTTCTTTAAGAAATTTGCAGGGATATTTTTCCACATCTCCAAAATTCAGTCTTAGAAGTTGGTTTAGCATTTTCTGCTTCTCACGATCCAAGTAATCGAACCCATTCAGTGTTGTTGAGGTCTGGACTTTGTGGTGGTCAGTCTATTGTTCTGAGAACACCAGCAGCTTGTTTGCTGTGTCAAGTCAAGTCAAGTCAGGTTTTATTTGTCATTTCAGCCATATACAAGTACACACTAAAATGAAACAACATTCCTCCAGGACCAACACAAGAACACGAGACAATACAATAAACACAGTGCAGACAATACAGTACAATAAATAAATATGAAAGACTTACAATAAATACAAAACAGGACACAGGCAGTACATGGTATTTGTGCATTTCAT